CTTTGCCCTAGATCTGCGTTGAAGAAAACATCTAAGGAGAGCAAAAAATTTACGCAGATATCGAAAACGAATGGATACCACATTGGAAAAAAATGTCTCATGTGATGTGAATTGAGACGATTTTGGCTTGCTCTGCCGTTTTAATCATTGTACTATCTATGACTCTGAAATTGTGAGTGTAAACAGCATTCAATTTGGTTCGGCTTTCTACCTCCGCCACCGAGTGTAAACGAATTTGAGCCAGTGTTGGTTTTGGATTTTTTTTAAATTATTTAACATTTCCGAAATATCTCTAGATTTCTTTTTCCAACTCTAGTAAGTAACACACTTTCATCACCCTCGCTAATGTGTTATTTTACATCCGATCTTGTATGAAAAGATAACATGAACAGACAACAGACATAAAAATAAAATTATTTTAAAAAATGTTTTATTTTGTGGATAAAGGACGAAATTTGTGCACGTGTATCATTCTAAATTTTATTTGACGAAATTCTATTTTGTGGATAAAGGAAACTGCCGGAATATGATTAAAAATACATTAAAAAATGCGTTTATTTTTGTATATACATACAATACCTAAAATAAATACGTAAATATTACTGTGCGACATGACAGCAATTATTTAGTTTAGCAAAGGCGGTGTGGAGAAATGCCCAACTGGCGCTCCATATAAATCTTGCGCGGCCGAAGGTGTCGGCGGCCGAAGAAGTCATATCCCGTCCAGGGGGCAAAGCCAACGAAAATGTTGACAATTTTGGGGTTTCAAAAGCTTATTTAATCGATTTTAGTGTTTATTAATAATAATATGTAGAGAATAGCATATCCATATAATTTTTTTACTCCCCGATGAATTGTGGTTTTTCTCCACAACGGCGGGGGGGGGGGAGCCCCTGGCCCCCGCGGGCGACACCCCTGAATGCTAAACTTCGGTTTGATTAACCTTGATTACGACATGAAAGTTCAAAAAGATGGTACCAAGTAATGATGCCACATTTTTTTAACGGATGTTTCATGGGAAAATTCAGATTCAAATTATAAGACTGGCCTTTAATTGTTTCAAATTTTAAGAATTTCTTACTTGATTGCAAAGCAGCAAAATAGTATGTAGACCTCATCGTCCTAGCAAGCGCGGAAATGCTGTATCAACCTCTATAAATTTATAAAGGTATCTTTTTGTTGAAAAATGTAATTTGTGAGTGGTTGAATCATGTAAAAATGTTTAATGATTGTGTTGTGATTGAGAAGAACATTGAGGTAAAAAAATTAAGAATTAAAAGTTAGGTGCGAAAGTGCATTATAAGCGCCAACATTTTGCAAACTGTATTGTACCTTGTATCTTGTATCTTGTATATGAAACTATACTATGAACATGCATTAAATCAAGAAATTCATGATCGCCTAAGTCTAGACGCGTTGGTCGCAATTAACAACATATGGAACGCCTATGTACACAGTGGTTTATATTAAAGGAAGAGGTTATTCGCACGGTACTGTGCAAATAATAAATTATTCACACTGTGTGCATAACTTCTTATTCGCACGGTACCGTTTTTTTGCGTGTTTTAGATTTAGTATTGATTTTATTTATTTTGGTTTTTAACGATGCTTGACTATGCAAAATTTTTTATTGTATTTTTTTCAGCATGATTATTATTTTAGTTTTTTTACAATTGCTATTGTTTAAGAGAAATTTTTAATTACAATTGAATATAATTTTAGTGTGTTTTTTAGTACAGTTACAGAGATCACAAGTCTCCCGAAAATCGCGGGTTTCTCCTGATTTTTTAAAATATTGTGAAAATTCCACAAAAAATGTAATTTCCACGTTGTCATAGAGCAATGAAACAAAATTTATTATCTTACACCAATATATTATGGCACTTGCTCAGCCATATAAATGTCACAAGCTAGACCAGGGAATTGTTGTTTAAGTTTTTTATCTAATTAACAGCTCCATGGCAAGGCTAGGCCTAGATCTGTGGTAGACTCACCTTGTTTATCCTCCATGTTACGATCTTTTGCATCCAGCGCCGACCTCAATCAATGAGATTGCTGTCAGTTGAGTAAATAAATTTCAACAAATGAACGAAATCAAAAATCACATTGATGGATAAATGGGGCCCCAAGTTTTTGCCGCGAGGAATTTGAACTTGGAGAATCGGTGCATAAAAAGTACTTTTTTTTTCAAGTAAGCTTAAGTTGTTTAATAACAATACTAAAAAAAAAAAAATCATAGTTAATGGGTTTTGGTAATAAGCAGTCTTACGAAAAATGAAGTTTATTTTAACATCGATCCTGAAATACATGTAGGCCTAGGCTAGGCTCTATCTGCACTGCAGGGGTGTGTGTGTTGGGTTTGTGTCTGCTTGTGTGTGTGGTGGTCCTGACACTGCGGCCTTGGGCTACATGTATGTAATATCATTTACTAAATTAAAATATATATGTTTTTAATTTCTCAGCAAGTTGCAGTTACTTTGCTAGAATTCTATGTTCTTTGAAGAGATGTAGTAAATCAGCCGTAGCCTCTCATGCCAAGCATGAACCAAGCCTTGTTGACTGCTGCCAAGAGCGCTCTACTAGGACAATGCTAAATAAATAATATTAATATTTATAAATTTATATTTTAGGCCAAGTGCAATGTGTAAACAAATGTAAAATTGTTAAATAAAAGTAAACAAATTGATGAAAACAGTTTGTTTTCTTCTTTTTGTGCAAGACTTTCATATTGTGCAGCGCGTTGTAAGGTGTCCCAGCGCGTCACTACAGGAGGCGATCGCTTCACGAAAAAAAAACTATTTTTTGCTTTTCCAACTTGGGATCTCTGCAGTTTGTAGTGTTGAATATTGAAAAACAATGTTTCTTTTTCTTCTTGCAGTTCCCTGAAGTGAAAAGTCAAGTGTACAATACATAGTTATATTTATCAATTTCTGGATTATTCTTAATAAAGGCCTCTGTGTTTTGTTACGGTAATTTGTTGATTCAGGGGCAGATTTGGGGGGGGGGGTTCTCCCCTCTTTTGGGAGGTAAACAAAAAGACAAAATAAAGAAAAAGAAAAAAAGATAGCCCAAAAGTTAGTTTCCAGGCAACTAGTACTACATAAATTGTTCCTGATTGTTAAAAAGCCCAAATCAACCATTAACATATTTAAATTATATTTTGCTGTACTATATTTCCATTTATTTGTGTATTTTATAACCATCATCAGGATATGTATCAAAACCTTGTGTCTGCTTCGAAGAGTACCGTGGGAATCTATATTCGTGGGAATGTATAATGTATATTTCCATAAAAGAAGCCTTGAGTGGGCATTAAAATGTACAGTATAAACATTAGTAATTTGATTTAAAAAAAAAAAAAATGAAAATACTATATATTTCCTTTGTTTTCATTTATCATTATACCATTCAGTCTATTTTAATTTATTTATATGTATCATTATAAACTGATCATTAGAATGTTTATGGTGAAAGGAAACGAAACGTAATAGAAGAAAACAAACGTAATCTTTTATTTAAGCGTTAATTTTAAACGTGTCCTAAACCAAGTCAACTTAGTAACCATCGTTGTTTTTCTGTAAATAAAGAAAACTAACAAGTGATACTGTAGTGCTGAAATCTAATCCAGTGTATAAAAAAATGACAAAAAGTCATTAAAATTCAATAAAAAAAATTGCACAAAAGAACACATACTGAACTGTGAAATCGACAATTAAAACATAATTTTTAAATAGAGAAAAGTCTATTGCTGCATCTATATTTCTGCCATAAAAGTCTGTTCACTGCTACCTAAAATTGATTAAAATGCTCTAAGATTCATTGTTAAAAATTGATATCAAGGAAGAAATACATGATTTTTTTTAACCTTTTTGTCCTACATTTCATTATTGTAAATTGCTTAGCATTTCTTAAAGATCCTCTCTGGTGTTGGGTAAAAGGTATCTAAGTCTTGGTGATTCAAAGATACTGTTGCAAAGTGAGTAAGCAATTCTAAATGCCTGCAAGCAAGTGTGTTCAGGAGAGTTTAATAATACTTCTTGCCCTTATTAAGTGCTTTAAGTTCATCACTAGAGTAGCAGCGCAATACCATTACTATGGCAATCCAAGCCCTCTTGGCCTTAGACTCAAGATTTTTTCTGTGGGCACTCTATGACGTCACACAAGGCTTATTTAAGCTACCGTGCAGAGCTGGCTGGCAAAAAGAAAGCGTCACTCACAACTATGACCAGCAGGTAAACCACAGTTAACTTTGAGTTGTCAGGATTCTCGATTACAATATAATATAGTCCAATTGAGACAAAACACATCAAACACCAAAAAGACAAAACAATAAACCATACCAGGCTTAAAAAAAAAAAATTGGAAATTTAGATCAGAAACTGTCAGAAACAAACAATATACATCCCGGCAAGCATGAGCACCCTCATTTAAAAAAAATTAAAAGGCAATGCTTAGAGAGCAAAAGCTCAGTTGGCTAACCTGATGGTGGCCACATTGTGTGTGCGTTGAACTGTGGAGATCTCTTGGTCCCTGGTTCAAGTCTCATTTTTGACCTTCAGGTGGGAGCTCAAATGCAAGTTTGATAGTGCACCGTCTTTCAAATGAGACGTTATGAGTATGTGAGTCTCAAAAATTATGAACAACTATACCAGTTTTGAAATCTGGATAAGTACTGTAATTAACTGCATATTTGAGATGTAATGCATTTCTGACCCATTGAAGCATTGAATATGTTGTTTTTTTCAGGCATGTTTAAGTTGCTCACATGTAGCATGTGGAAGATATAACGAAGAGCATGCCATTAAACATTTCCATGTATCTAAACATCCTGTAGCCATTGAAGTCAATGAAAAATATGTATTTTGGTGAGTATTATACTAATAAAACATAATTTGAGGTGAAGTAGTAGTAGTGAGTTCTATTTCCTGAGGTGTTGGATGATTGGGATCACCCCCTGATGCAAACCGAAATAAAATCCTGTATTTGTTTTACTATACCTTATGAATAGTAAATAGCAAACTATTTTGGAATTTTAAAATTACACCTTTGCACTTGCGTGCTTAGAGCCCTTATTATCTTGTGCTAATGCAGAAATATAAAACCATTAACCATTGAAATTGTACAGTATACATAATGTTAATGGTTCAAATGGATTTAGTTATATTGCCTGTTGAGTGACTGCTGTTTGGAAAAATATGAATTAAAAATTAATACATATTTATTTTTTTTAGTTACATTTGTGATGACTATGTGCTGAATGACAATGTAACTGGGGATATTAAGCTGTTACGATCCACATTAGAAGCCATAGCCAAGCAGAAGTTTGATGAGCGAACTACACGCAGTGGTAGGCGATTGCGAGCATTGTCATTAGACAGCGGTGAACCCCTCAAAAGACAGTAAGATTTATTGGATTTTTCATTCAAAGGCAAACTGTGTTGTGACTATTTTATAGTTGCATCTTCATTTAATTTCAATATGAATTTGGCTCCTTGAGTCATCTCTTCACATTTAGTCAACTATTCAATTATTATGTTATTTTAATTTTAACTCTAACTTGCTGGCATATAAATCTTGTTTGTTGATAAAAAATAAGGTTTTGTATCATGAAAGTTAAACCTATGTTTTATAATCCATACCAATGTGATGCTTTCCCAGTCAATTTCAAATTTCATTTGTTGACACATCAGAACATTTTTTTTTTAAATTCATGATTGATTATTTTCAGAAATCACAGCTCAATTTTAAAGGATAAAGGTTACACTGCCCTTGTCCATCGAAGACTGGTTTTACTGAGCAAAACTTTCCTAGCCTGGAAGGATGATGTCCTTGGAGATAAAGAAACTAAACAAAAACCAACACTTTCTAAATTACAATCCAAAGTATCTCAACACAAACGGTCAACAGAATCGAGTTGGATACCAGAAAATAACCCAAAAGGAATGGCAACACCACATAAAAGAAAAGCTGACGTGAACACTGAGGAATCACCATCAGCAAAGAAGAAATGGTCTACCTTGACCCCAGGTGTAACAGGTCTACGCAACCTGGGTAATACCTGTTACATGAATTCCATTCTTCAGGTATTAGGGTAAGTTTCTTAGTTATAAATCATATATTTTATTTAGTTTTAATACTACTTTTAAAATAGAGCTTTCAGTTATTTTAATATTACTCTAAGAAGTTCTGATAACCACCTATCACTGTTTTCATATTACATTTTAAAGCAAGAGCATGTAATTAGAAAAATCTAGAAAATGGATTAACAGAGGTCCCAAGTCTACCGCTACTTGCGGTAGTCTACCGCTTTTAGCGACGATATACCGCGCTACCGTAAGCTTACGATTTTCCACCGCATGAGAAAAATTCTCCCGTAAATTTTAGAAAATTTGGGTAGGCTACTTAATTTAGAATATCAGCTTAGCCTAGGTCTAGGTAAAAATATAACTCAGGATGTTAAAAAACACTCGTAAACAATCACAAAGTTTTAATCCACTCCCTACCATCACTTTTTATAATGCATTTGCAATTAATTACGGTAGCTGCTAAAAACACGAAATCAAAATACACTTTGTTTATTAAAAAAGTTGATACGCCCATCCTTCCGACGCCGGGCCTGAGACCATGCCTGCAATGTGATTTGATATCTAAACAACCCTGTAAACAACATGCTCTTTGACCCGTAGAACAGGCCTACAGCTAACTTTTTGCATAAAGTTAATTTTATCCAACTGTTTCATGAAAACAATTAATTAATAGTCGAAAATAATAAGTAAAAATGTGGCTCCATCGAAGAAACGCAAAATTCGTGTGCTTTTAATTCACAATTGATCAAGAAGTATGTTCGCCACTGGTGGTGCACCATCGAGGTCAACGAACTCAACTCTGGAAAAAGTATCTGTTTGAAAGCATGGAGGCAGATGTTGTTGGTTATGCTGTAATATCGATGAAGAACGGTGGAATGACCGATGTTGAAAAATATTTAAAGGTATGTTGACTTCTTTTTAAACAGTTTTATGTGATTGTGATAAAAATCATACGTTCTACATTCAGTTTTGTGACTTGGAAATGGATGGTTTAGAGTCCTGCCTCGTCGTTACCCTACCTAGGCCTAAGCCTAGCCGCCAGGCCTTAGGTTCCTTGAGCCAATTTTTTCCTGTACTAGCTAGGGCCTAGACTAGGCCTAGGCCAACCGTCTTTAAAATACCTTAGGTCTAGACCTCAGTTAAGGTTTTTGAAGTCAAGCTACGTACACCTAGACAAGACTATCGACATTTTAATAAGAATTTTAAAAAAAATAGGTTACATACATTTTGAGATAATATTTTCGTTATTTTTTTATGTTTACAGACTTGTTTGCCATGATTGAACTGCATCCAAATTCCACTCTTCCCTTAGCAGCAAAGAAGCTACTATTACTACTATTGAATACAATATTAAACTAACAGATGCCAGAAAGGACTGTAAATTGATGTAATTAATTGATATTGATGTAGTAGGCCTAAGTGTAAATAAATGAATAATATTAGACTAGGCCTACTGTACAGATTTGTAGATTCCAGAATTTATGTAAGTTCATGGTATTAATTTACATTGTGTAAATAAAAATAAAAGCAAGAGCAAGTTAACTGTGTGTTTATCATTGAATGTCAAATATTTGATATTATGAGTAGTTGAGTATTGGCTGTGACGCGCGTTGTATTTGCAGGCGGCCAAAGGTTCCCGACAAAATCTCCTGCCAATGGAGTTCTTCAACTTGGGACCCCTGGATTAAGCTTTAAAATTAGTTGTAAAGATATTCCAGTGTGTAATAACACACTGGAATAAACAACAATATCTCTTTGTAGCTCCCAGGGTCCTAATGAAATAGTTTGGTACAGTAAATTTTGTTCGAAAATGGTCTGATAGGCATTGAGCTTAAACCCTTGATTCTAAAACTGGCAGTATTGCAGGTGTCACGATTTATATATTGTGAACAAATAAACAATTGATTTTCACAAGTGCCATATTATTATAACTGAAGTGTTTTTTATTTGTGACTTCCCTTTGTAGGTATCTTAGTGTATTCAGAGAATGTTTTCTAGATATAGGAAACAGTTCATTAGAAAAAAACATAAAATCAGAAACGAAGCTAACAAGAGAGTTCTACAGGCAAACCACAGTAGAAGCATTTAAAGTAAGTTTAGTAGGAAATAATGTTAACTGTATATTTAGATCATCATTTTATTAAAAATGTAACAACTGTCTTAAGCCTGTCTATCTGATAGGTCTTACATCTCCTAAACTCCTGTTTGGTCTTGACACGTCTGACCAAATGCAGGGGCCTAGGCCTAACATTTCTTGAAAAATTTAAATTTTAGGGGCCAGTATATTTTTAAGCATTAGCAAACCATTTTTCAGTCAATTTGGTATAGTTTGCTGGCTTTCCAACCAAGAGTATTCAACATCATCCATGTACCTTACAGCAGAAACACTGCAAAGAAGCCATGCATTTTCCTATTACCGATCATCACTGGCATTATCTGTTTACAATATACACTAAATGTCACATGACCAACCTAGCAGAATGTGTCTCTTAGGTGTTATAAAGGGTGACAAGGGTTTTGCCTCTAGCGCCCCAATTGTGCTTTGCCAGTCTGCACTAATTGGGGCTTAGTACTCCTTAAAAAGCTTCTGCAGGAAATTGTCAGACCTACATGCCAGACATCTTCCTCCTGTAGAGCCTGTTAGTGGCCCAACAAATTGCATGTTGTAGTAAGGTTGCAGGTTAGGTACCAGCTACCAGTGAATTCCAAGTTACAGTAGCAGTTAATTTTTGTTTTTTTCATTACAGGCAATCTCAACTCCAAAGTCTAGAACCAAAATTCAAAGACAACCTAATTTTGGTCTCAGTGGAGGATCAAATAAGGTTGTCGACCCATCAAAGTACAAAGACCCAAGGTTGATGAGAGACAACATGTGAGTGAAATAGATGTTTGTATTGTGGGGTTAATTTCTAGGTATTTGTGTATGAAAGAAGCAATAGAGCTCTGAGCAATCACTTATCAAACATACAAAAAAAACTATTGCTTTTGATGAATTTTGTTAATATGATAATTTCAACATTCTAGATAAAAAATAATAGTAGATAATTAGCTACTAACAGTGTAGTTATTAGCTGTAACTATTTAACTATTAAAGACTATTTATCTTTGCATTTTTTCAGGCCACTGTATTATGAATTTCATCTCTTATTTCGTGTGATGTGGTCAGGTAAATGGGCCATCGTCTCTCCGCATGGATTTCTGAGTTCCGTGTGGCGGTTGATACCAAGCTTCAAGGGCTACTCCCAGCAAGATGCACAGGAATTCTTATGGTGAGTTAAAATCTGTTGCCACAGTGTTGTACCCAGGGCGTGCTCAATGGAGAGTCTGTATCCGTAGGGTTTAGTAACTGTTTAGATAGAAAGGTTGAACCTGCAGTATCTAGTTATCAATTTTGCTTCATTTATTTGTCTAAAAAAACATTAACATTACAAGAACACAAACACCAAGGAACAGGCATTAGGAACATGAGAGAGAAACACCCTGGGAAGAAAATATTTTCTATATATTAGTAGAAAATGAAATAGATTAACCAAAACCACTAAATTGGTCTAGTCTGGCCCTAACCTAGATGATTTTCGCTCTCCGGTTTGTGATCTGGAATTTTTTAGGAGTAGGTTGATGACCGGTGTATATGTAGGCTGCACCCCAAATATAAAATTTGTGGCTTATACACCAGAATATGAGGTAAATTTAGTTTAATCCAAAATTTGATTTTTATTATGGACATTTTATTTTCAAAATACAATTTTTGTCATTTGTTTTAGTTCCCTGGTAAATCAAGGAACACTGTTAATTAAATCAACTTGTTTTAAATGATAACAAGATGGAACTGCTTTATTTCCATAGTTTTTTTTGGTAAATCCGGCCCCTGGAACCCATTAGTTTGAATTGATGATACATGTTTTTTGCACTGTCTGATTCTGCTGAAAACCTTGGAATCATCATGGACTCTACATGCTCTATGAATAAACAAATTAATAACATATTTCAGTCTGTGTACCATGATTTCAGAAATATCTTCAAGATCTGGAAATATCAGGGTATACAAGGGGCTTGTAAAAAAAAAAAAAAAAATCGCTATCAGCGACTGCATTCTATCAAGTCAGAATACAAATGTATGTTTTCTATACCTGCGTGGTTGTAGTTCCTTATCAAAAAATTTTTTTATTAATTATTAACAACCTGTACAAAATTATAATTTAAATAATGCAAGTTTCTTCTGTACTAAGCGTCTGTATACAAATTTATTTTAACTTTAATCATTGATTACCTATTTGTAAAGGCCAAATTAGGCTAATGCTCCTACTGCCATTGACTCACTAAATTGGCAATTGGTTGGTATTGAAAACCAACCATGCAGAAATTTTAAATAGCTGAGAGTATGATGTGATATGTTCAATAGTAGATTCTAGATACCAAAGTAGGCATAAAGATTTAAAAACTAATAATATTAACTTAGCCATTCAATTAAGTATAGGAATCAACTTGAAAAATTAAGGTTGATATAGAAGATTTTAGATAAAAATTCTAAATAGAATGAAAAAAAAAAAAAACAGTTGATATAGAAGATTTTAGATAAAAATTCTAAATAGAATGAAAAAAAAAAAACATTAAAATATTTTCTGTTGAGTTTTAGCTTGGGTATGAAGTTCATACCTTGCATCCCTTGATGGTCTGCCACTGTTGTGCACCTAGAACAGGGCACACATCACTTTATTCTCAGTCACCTTCATTGGCTCCCTATCAATTCAAGAAATATTTTTAAGACTCCTCATTGCATATAAAATTTGTCATGGTTTGTCCCCCCGCTTACAACATTTATCTGCATCAGGCAGCAAGTATGTTCAAATCACACCATTCAGATCTTCATATCCAAGTCCTGTAGGCTGCAACAGCTCGCCCTCCACTCAAACAATTTGGCTTCAGGTCTTTTAAATTCTCTGCTGCTGATCTCTGGAATAAACTTCCCCGGATATTCGAGCTGCTCCATCGGTCAGTTCCTTCAAGTCTCGTCTTAAGACATTCTTCTTTAACCAACATTTACATTAGCCTTTTAACATGTTGACTGCCGGACCTTTTTTTTTTATGTTCCTTCCTGTGTGCCAAAACAAGTTTACAGTACATGTACAAACACACTTTTTTGAATTTTATCTAGTCATATATCATCAAAGTGGTGTGTCTAATAAATTGGCGGGAAAATATTAGGGGACGAGTAAACTTGTTGCCAGCACTGGGACAGCATTTTTTAATGCCACTGCCAAGTGTGAGTTTTCTCATCAGCTTTTTGCATGTGTTGTTATATGTTCAGAGGGCGCTCCCACTCGTGCAATCAAGTGTACTGCCGGCAACATAACACAACAAACATACTTACGTTATTTGTATGTTGATTGGTGTATCTCCCCTGAATTGCCGGACTTTAAGTCTGTGGTTCTACTACAAAGAAGTAATAAACGCCTGAATGTTACCCCAATTTTGACGAGTATGTGGTTCCTAGCATCCTCAGCAACACCCTGTGAGACGAGTATACTTGTCTCTGGTAGCAAACATGTTAATTGCTCCCCTTTATTTCGTTTTTCACTATAATTCTTAGAAAGCGCATAGAGGATCTAGAGGTATGCAATATACAAGGACAATAATAATTATTATTGTTACTACTACTACCGCCTATTATTATTACTGCATTGTTATTTTTATGATTATTTTTAAAAGTTATTTGTAATTTCTACATAGGAGTGCTGTACTTTGTCGTTGAAACAAGAAGTAACAATATGCTAAAGACTAACTAATGTACAATATCAATTAAGGGTGCTACCAACCGAAATCTGAAGGATTTAATGTTGGTTTGATTGTATGTATTAACACTAGCAATCTACTGCTTCAACTGGCTAAGGACATACAATATCGCGAGTGGAGTGAGAACAAAACTCCCTTATATTAGCATACTGCTGCCTTGTGTATGATAATCCTGGCGGCGTTATTGGATCAGGCAATTCCAGTGGCGGGAGGATTTTTGGATTTTTTAGGAGCTGCAGTGACTGCTCCTCGCTATGTTGTTTGAAAAAAAACAACTCCTGGATGGTCGTGACTGAACCTGTAAAACATAATTTTTTAAAACATTTTTGAGTAATTAAATATACAAAATATTTTTTTCGAACACTCTGGTTGATACATGGCTGTATAATTTTATTATTAAATTTTAAAAATCATTTAAAATGAAGTAATCATGAGCTTTAAATATAGTTACAGTGTTGTATTACATGTAACATATATTAAAGCCTATTTTTTACATTGATGAATGACACTTTTTAATCTGCTTTTTTTGAAAATTGTAGTTAAGAATAGATTTAATGTTATGTATATGGTAATAATAATTTTATATATTGAAATAGGTTTTGTGGGATTTGTTTTTATTTATATAGGGAGTCTTTAACTTATGGATATTTATAATATACTTACCTTATGTGATGACAAGCCAAGATGCCTGGGAAAGGCTTGAAATATGGTCCTAGAAAGCACTGCCAGTCATAGGTGCGTACATAAACCTCGCCACTTTCGGAGTTTCGTGCAGACCATTAATGGTTCTCCAAGCCAAGTACCACAAGTACTTATTCTGGCCTGGACAGTTGTCGCAATGCAATTGGCAGTGACGTTTGCCAAGCCCATCATTCTCAAAGAAGTCATGTACAAAGCTTAACACAGCAATTGACCCCTTCGAGACATTCATCCCTGCATCGATTAAATAGTTTTGTTGCTGCGGAACAGCCTCACAGTGAACGCTGAAAATGCCACATTTTCTAATGGTAAAAAAATGTGTGGGTCCAGGCTGCATGGGGTCGTGCGGGTACAGCACCTGCTGTGCAAAATCGAAGGAATAATGCATTGTTATGGGCCGTGAACAGGGTGCATATTTTCCTCTATCATGGTTCTGCGCATTTCCCGTTCAAGACAAACAACACGCAAGTGTTCGAGTTGGGCCTCCACTCGTTGGTGCTTCTGAGCCTCTGTCTGGTTAGCGCTTTGGTACACAGCATTGTTATTGCGATGGTAAGTCCAACAAAGGTCACTTTGAGGTCTGGTTGTTATTATGTAGGGGCAAAACACTTTCCATATCGGAGCTCTTTGTGGTCTGAATGACAGAAAAATACATTATCACATTATTGTAAATAAAGTAATAAAACATCTATATTTTCTCCAGCAATTCTTGATTCATCGGCTGGTAAGCATTTACAGTACAGAAATAATAAAAAGCCTTTGAAGAAATAACAATAAGTTGTTTGGTAGAGAAGTAAGCATATCAAAATCAATATTGAATAATTGCAGGTATTTACCAGCAACATGACGTCTTGCATTGACCTCCTTGAGCTGTGCTTCACATTTCCTCCACATTCCAGACTTAGTTTCACAGGAAGGCAGCAATCGCACTCTCGGGTCTTGACATTTAATACCCTATACTTTCCCAGGAATTACCATACCATTCTCGTCAGGGTAGTACTAATATGTCGTACATCTGACTCGGACAGGGCTGCCTTGTTGAAGCGCCGTCCACCAGACTTCTTGATGGGCGGTGTAGTACCAGAGGTCTTGTAGTGGTTAATGATATAGCCATATTCCATTATGTTGAATAGCAGATTTAAACAATAGGAGTATCAATACTGTACTGTATAATGTATCGCAGAACTTACCAGTGCATGTACGCAAACGACTGCCGACACGCTTGGCTTCAACCAAATATGCGGGATCGCTTCCTGTTTTCTTGATGTTTCCGTTTCCTCTTTAGGGTTTTCTCTTAATTGTTGTACTGATTTTCCCCATTACAAACATCTTTCTCTCGGTAACAGTCAGTTCTTTCATTTGGGCTCGCAAGTTTAAAACAAAAGTTGCCGCAAACTTGTTGAGGCATATGTCTGGATTCTGCTTGTCTTTGTTGCGAGGGCAACGCCAGTGTTTGAATGTTCTTATAGCTAAACGTTCATTGTCATTTGCATCACCTACCCAATCTTCCTCGTTAGCTCGTTTGGCTAGGCCTATTCGATCAATAGCATCTTGGCCGAGGTCCACAATTATAGCTGGCCTACCTTGTTTTTCTGCTTCTTCTTCGTCCTTACCGTCACTTTCTGTCGTGCCCATAGGAATTTCAGATTCTTCATTATCCGAAGTAATTGCATCTATGCCTCATCATCCGAATCACTTCTGTTCCCAAAGAATTCGGTAGCCAATTCTCCAATGGTCGCAGTGTCATTTCGTTAAACCCCAAAAGTCGTGCACCATTTAGAGCTTTTACAATCTCCAATTCGACTAACGAGGCCATGATAGTTATTAACAACTAATAAATATATATTTCACGATAAATTTATAACTATGAGGAAGAAACAATCAGTGGACCTTTCGGTTTTTGGAAACTTAGAAAACACTGTAATTCATAATATAACTTTTTCGTAGACGACAGACTGAAAGCAAACTCGGAAGTAAAAAAGCATCTGCGCATGGTCAGTTCGCGTCTACTTGCTATGTTTTTCAGTTTGACCAATCAGAAAGGCGAATGGGCCAATAGCGTCTCCACCCTGGTAACAAGAAGCAATGCTAAAATCGTTTTGATTGGCTACTCAGTTAAATTTATTGCTTAGTGGAAAGGTCATAAACTACCCTTTGGAAAGATACCAAACATGGAGGGTGTTCGTGTGTGCACGGCGTGTTGCAGCAGGCTGACAAAAACAAGCCTTTTCGGAGATTCTATTGTACATTTTCGTAAACAAAAATCATACATGCTATAAAAGGTAGTCTTAAAAATCGTTAAATTAAGGACGTTTTAGTACATTTAACAGTTTTAAAGTGGGCACATTTAGTATAATAATAGTTCAAGATGCGTTTTTTATCAACATTTTTTTTGAAAAAATAATGATTTTTTGACTCTCAAATCCAGTATCTCGATATGAGGTCGTGTGACTTATCGCTGATTTCGTGCTGGTGTTTTAATAATAGGTGCAAATCTGACAGAAACATCAATATAACTGACCTACTTATGAGGACAAAAACAGGGGTCCCAAGTTGGAAGAAGTCATTTCCAGGAGGTCTGCGATGGCAGGTTGTAAGGGACTAAGGGGTAGGGACTTCCACAGATGGAGGGTCTAGACCCCCTCAACCCCACAGTGGTTGGAGCTTAGGCAAAAAAATGTATGACTATGGCACCTCTGAATGGATCTCTCTAAATTAAATTTGATTTTTTCTTTTCTACCCCATTTAAAAAAATATAATTTTGAAATATTTAGGGGGCCCGGGTTGGCTGCCTCCCTGGAATCCGCCACTGATCTGGTTAATGAGATTTCATAACACATTTAATTTTATTGCACATAGAGATACCCATCAGCACTGCTTTGAAAATTATGAATTTGCAGACATGGGTTAATTTCTCTGAGATTCTTGCTTGCGTGCAGGAGGCCATTCCGATTTCTGGAAGACACCCACGAGTTTCGGGAGACTGGGGACCCCTGCAAAAATAATTTGAGGCATCATTGTTTGATATCTATGTTCTTGTGATTGTTATTTTCAGTGAGGTACTGGACAAGGTGCATTCTGAGTTGCAATATGTGCTGAGCCCTCCATTGGTGAAGATGGGTGATTCATTATGTCCAGTTCAAGATATTATTCCAGGGAATTTTCAAGGTCGATTAGTTAGTCAAGTGACTTGCTTGAAATGTACTCAGAAATCTAACACTTTTGAACCTTTCTGCGACTTATCTTTGGAGTTTCCCGAAAGGTAACATTTGAAATCATATCTTGTGGTACTAATAGGATTTAATTTTATTTATGTGTATCCTTTCATTATTTAATTACAATCATTTATTTACAAGGAAGTGAAAAAAGGTATGTTATTATAGATATTAAATGAAAAATAAATACAGTAAAATAATTATAATTTACTTTTTACTGTTCTTTACATATAACATTTAGTGTTTGTGTTACCAAAATACAAAAAAGATAGTATAAGTTCCTCCATTATCCATTATATTTGATTGCTAATTAATATTGAAGATACTGCTTTGTAGTAATTATCCATGTTTCCAAATGGTCCTAGATATCAATTTAGTCAATCACGGACAAGTTTATCTGAAGAAAGTTGCCATATAACAGAGATGCTGACGAAGTTCACAGAAGTTGAACACTTAGGAGAGGTATACTCATGTGAATCATGCAACAGACGAAGAAGGCACAGCAAACCAACCATTTGCACAAAGGCAACAAAAAGACTATTGATAAGGAAACCACCAAAGATTTTACGACTGCACTTGAAACGATTCAGGTTACTTTATAAATGTTGCTTGATCTATAATTACTGTATCAGCTTTCCTTACAAGCATTAATTGTAGGCTGTTATAAAATAATCAAATCTTTCATTACTGAAACAATATGAATTTTCTTCTTTGTGCCTGCTTACAAACATATATTTATTATTTATTCATGTGAGATACGAATATCCTTATATAATAAAGGCATAAAAAGTTGGATTGCATCCAACTTTGACATGTTATACTAATCAAAATATTCTTGTAGTTACAACTATAGGTATTCTATCTTCAATTTGTGAGTAGGCCTATACCTATTTCACATTTTGCCAATGTAAAGTGCGTAGATAATAAAATGCCTATCTGGCAAACAGATTGAGGATTGAGGAAGAAAAATTGTTGTAGGACGTCTGACGCTAAGTGACAGCATAATACATAATTGCTTTGCCATCACTAGCACTAAAACATCTTCTAGGAAATATTTTCTTATTGTATTGTAGATGGTCAGGACGTAACCACAGAGAGAAAATCAATGTTCATGTTGATTTTTCACAAGATCTAAATTTACGACCGTTTTGTTATATCAGTGCCAATGAGGACACTGATCTGACATCTGAAGACTTCATGTACGACCTCGCAGCAGTAGTGATACATCATGGCAGAGGGTGGGTCAACTATAGCTATATATATATTTCATATACTGTAAAATCAAATCATATGAATTAACAACAGTAAACAGTTGGAATTTTTATAGGAAATAGTAGGTTCTTCCAAAAGTTAAAATAATATTTTTCAATACAATTCATACTTACCTATATCGAAAAAATACTATATATATTAACAAATAAAATTGTTAATTGTTCTCGGGGGGGGGGGGGATCCATTGACGTTTAAAGTTTATATATTTAAAGTTAAAATGGCTAATCAGATAATAATCAGGCAATCCTCAGCAGTTTCGCATTTTTTTCCCAATTTCAATTAATTAAAATCTGTTGTTAATTTTTCCAACATTTTGAATGTTTTATTTGCCTGTTTTCTCATTTATCTATAGTTTTGGATCAGGCCATTATACAGCATACTGCTGGAACAATGTAGGAGGTAAGTGACAAGTGTAACATACAATGATACAATAGTTAATTGTATTTCAGTTTCAGATCCCAACTGAGATCTGAAAGTCAGTAAAAATAATCATATGTAAGAATTTAAAATAAATATTTTATAATTTCCTAAAACCTTCACATACACATTCACTTGTCTACTTTTACATTTTGTCTATATAGAACTTGGACTTTGATCGATGATGAGGAAAAATCAGGAAAAAAAATTATTCCAAGAAAAACACCTCCACCCCTCAAATGAGTGTGAAACTCAACTTTTTTTTTTGGGGTGGGGGGTGGAGGTGGGGGAGCCATGTAATGTGCCTTGTGTACTACGTTTTTAGGAGTCTATTTCAATATGTATTTGCAAAGTTAAAAAGCTAAGTGTCCAAGAGTCTTGGTAATAAATAAAATAAAAATAACCTCAAATCAAGCCCATGCAAAGAATTCTTTTGGGTAGTTACTTTCTAAGGCAACTAGTAGTTAGTAAACTTAGAGGCCTAGTAAACACTTCATAATAAAAAGTGAGAAAATTGTTCATACTTAAATAAAAAAAAGCCAAAAAAGTTGCGCTCAATGTCGACGGTGCCTGGCTAGGTGTTGTCTATCCCTACCTATTGTTTATTGTACTGTAAAGCATACCAAATCTAACATTCTTTTTCGTCTTCTTCTCAATCCCTGTAATTCATTATCATCATTGCAACAGTAAGGCTGGGTGGCCCTGCCCACCATACCTACATCCTTGCATGCTCGCTCACAAAGCAAATCATATTCAGGATAGTATTAGATAGTCTAGTCATATTGATGAAGAAGAATTTCTAGAGCAAACATGTAGCAATCATTTGTGATGGGTCAGCATTAGCAGGTTGTTTTACAGTCTCATTAAAATACATACACACAATGCCCTGCAAAAGTTGATTTACTGCATCCATGATGAAGACATAACAGTCAGCAAAGTGTAGACTAATTCATGGACTTCACACAGTTTGTATTATGTGTCCTACCTTTTTATATTCCCAGTGTCATTTTTTATTAAAAAAGTAACACAAACTATTTAATTACTTGCATGATTTTATTTTTGTCAGGTTTTTGGGTCCATTGTAATGATGCTCGTCTTGAACTCTGCACTATGGATGACATCAGGTCATGTCAGGCTTATATAATGTTCTACACAAAGCGCACTTCAAACCAACACTTAACTACAGATGGTGGGATCCAGCCAAAAGCAAGGCGATCAAGAAGGATAACATTGTGATACTCATCAAGTGCATGTGCTTGGATATTTCCACAAAAAAAAAACACTTGTGACAAAAAATTTTGTATGTTACAATGTTTCAAATTTTTATTTCTGCTGTGATTTGATGTTTATTTACAATTTTTACTAAAAAATGTATCCATCTTCATTAAGTTTTCATTTTGTAAAAGATTATACAATTACTATTCAGCAAAAGGTAATATCAAGAAGATTTTCGTTGTAAGAGGGTTTTATCAAGGAAATCAAACTTAAAATGAGTCAACTCTGAGTTGGTAAATAGTTTAGCGGCATTTAGGTAGTTTTCATGGGTATTTTGATATTTATTCTATTATTTTCTTGAATTGTGTTATTATTATTGTATTTTACTTGCAACTGAGACTATTCTGCTGTACAATGCTTCCAATGATTCTCCATAGATTTTCTGATTCTGTTTTCATTACCAGTAATTGAGTTCTCCTATTAGTTGATAATTGTCCCACTTGGTAGATTAACTACATAATTTATACTGATATAAGATAAGATATACTGCCATTCAAATTTAATGAACCTAAAATTTTAAAAAATGTAATTAAATTGCTTTGTATATTACAGTAAATTAGTAGATTCAACTAAAAATATATATGTCCAAAACTTTAAATAGTACCATTCCTATAGGGTTTGGACATTTATTTTTATAGTAGTGTCTGTAAATGATTTTTTTTATATATATCTGACCTTGAGATTACCAACTTGGAAAACGTTTGAAAATACCTTTTTGTCTCTATTTTCTCTTTTGACTTCTTATTTGTATTTTTAATGGTGAATACTTTTTGTTCATTTTTCACTTTTAATTTACATTATAAATGGAAGTAGATTATTTTATTTTTTAATTTTTTTTTTAAATTTTAGTTATGTAATAAGTATGTTTAAAACTATAATAGTAATGCCATTTATATTACTTTTTAGGCAACTGTATCCAATAAAAACTCAGGGAAATGTATAATAATGTAGATAGGTGGTTAATTAGTAAAATGTACATTAATTTTGGTATTGATTTTTACACATATTTTTAAAATTCATTGTTCATGGACAAATGTATGTGTTCCATAGATTTATATTAGATGTATATTTGTAGGCAATTGGTGATTTTCCTTGCAATTATCATTAACTGTTATATGCAGTTTGTCAGATTTGCAGTTTCAGCTCTGAGCAGAAGGCCTAGCCTGTTGAAAATTTAAAAATACCAAAACACACACACTGAAAACAATTGAAATAACTAATTGAATGACATAATCATTATAAAATGACAAACATTTTTCACCATCATTATAATTTTCTTGAGCAGAGTCATCCAACTTGTTTATGTCAATTGTGCAATTCCATGAAACTGCACATAAGACATAACAGCTAATTAACTATATAAGGTCACACTAAAGGTATCTATGCAGAATGATTGTATGATGCGAGTTTTTTTTTCAGTTTCGATTTTGACCAAGGAGGTACAAGTGTTGGGTGTTAAAGAATTATGACTTCTCTGTTGAATGCAAGACAATGCGCATTAGCACTACTGAAGTGGATATGTGCGCTTTATAAATTTATGAGAGTCCCAATTGATCAGCTCTGGCTGGATGGACCACCTCACAAAATATTGTTGAAATAAAATATAAATAAATAACTTTTATTACAGTATCATTATTAATGGTACAATTATGACTGGCTGGTGTGTAAAACTAATTAAGTTGTCACATGAGGATTTGGGAACCCATGATGTACTGAAATATAACTAAAACAAGAAGTACAGAAGCACAATAAGTTTTCCATCTTTCTTTTATCAGGATGACTAAAATCAAGGAACATAGAGTACCACAGTCGCCAGGTGTTGGTTACCATTCATTACGCCTGAATGACTTCATATTCTTTCTGGAATAGGCATTTTAAAATTTAATATTTTACCATCAAAATGTACTAAAAACACAAAAGCTTGCATTATATTAGTGATCGAACACACATTTAATCAATTAAAATTTACAAAGAATTAAGATATAACATCTTAATTATGTTAGAAACTGGGATCAACGGTTTGTCAGTGGAGACAATAGTCCGGTTGAATTCATGTTGTGTCGCCGATAACAACGGAGTAGTATCACGTGGTATCCTGATGTAACACTGTAGTACTATATACAAATATCAAGATATTTGAAATTTTGATCTAGTGCTTACAATGAGTTAAAAAAAATATACTCAAGGAGAGACGAACCATTTTTAAAGTGACATTGTTCTATATTTTGTAGGGATAGCCAATCAAAAAGTAATTTTCATTGCTGCGTCTCTAATTCAAAGCCAATCTTTTATTTTCTCTCAGAGTATTACATTCAAATCATACCCTGCTTTTGCCTGGGGAAACCCTGGTACATAAATTTGGGCATAAAGTAGAGAGTGGCATTTTATGTATTTTTTACTTTTATTGACAGGATAACTTTTCATTCTAAGCCTTTAACAAGTCTGCTCAACTTGTCTTCCAGAAATCATTGAGGTTTCAGACCAAGTAAAACTCTCCCAAAATTCAAAATGTTTTGCATATATTATTATTTTCTCCCTGAGGTTGGCTGGTATCATCGTGCACTACAAATACATTGTGTTAAAATAGCATGATAGATCAGATGGTATGGCTTCATAATTGCATCAACACACTTAGGTGCAGTGACATTTGGCAGTCAGAATTATTTGATTTTTTTTTATGGATTTATGTGTTTGCCCAAGTGATAATAGAATTGTATTGTAGTGCATTGGTGAGCCATGTATTTGAAAATGTTTGATAAGAAGTTTATTTGTAAATGATTCAATTAAACAGTTGTACTGTACACTTGTTCACTTGTCTCTTTGTTATTAGATTCTTATCTTACTCATTATAGCCTGGGTGCAGTAGGAAATTAGCGGGAAAAAAGTAAAGGAAAATTTATTTTTGGTTTTTCTGAATCAGTATATCATATAGTGTCTCAGAAAAAAAATCCCCATTCTTAGAGCAATTTTTTTTATAGCACTTTGAAATTTTGACATAAAATATCCTATTTTGGCACTAATTAAGATGGGGGTAGGGGAAATAAATGTATGTTTTTAGTCACTTTTACATATGCTATGTATATCAAATGTAACAAGAACATGGCTAAATAGTTACTCTTCACTCTCGTTAAAAAAATTAATCGGAATGATGTCATCACAAAAAATTCCAGGATGGCTCCCATTTTGGCAGTAAAAACTTTTTTTTAAATGTAAAGTTAACGTTATTGTTATCAGAGCAATTTCAAAACAATGTTATACATATACATACAACAATAAAATAAAACATATATATATACATAGGCATATATATATTATATAACCTATGAGAATAAACCCACTTGAAAAAGAAATAGCAAAATTTTGCTCTGAAAGACCCAACAATTCAATTTCTGGACTCTGATCGGGGTAAATTGAAAAAAACTATGGCGTTATTTTAGTCACTTCTAGTGCTATAAATGCGAAAATTGACAATAAACTTTGTTAACTAGTTACTCTTTATTGTCTTTATCAAATTTGATTGAAATGATCATAATGCCAATTTCCAAGATGGCGTTCATCTTAGAGGGGAAATGGTTATTTTGTAAGATGATGATTATTGTTATGACTACTACTGTATTATTATTATTATTATTATTCTCAAAGTACAAAATACAATCTCATCAAAGCAATGTACACATATAGAATATATATAAATATTATTTTAATAGTAGTATGTTTATTTATTATTGTTGAAATCATTATTAATATTATTATTTATATCATTACAGTATTACCATCATCCCCATCCTATTCGTCATCGTCATCATCATTCTCATTGTTGTCTAATCATCATAATAATGATGAAAATGAGAAAGATGATGATGATAATAAATAATGACATCAGTATATTTAGAATAACATTACTTCAAAACAAAATTTAATGACATGAAAGATCGACGTTTCGGGTCCATCATGGAACCATTCTCAAGATCAAGTAAATTGAAAAAACTAAAAACAAAATACCAAGCAGTGACAGGAAGTAAGTAATTAATTAATGGTTAATTATTTCAAAGTTTTATCTAAGTGCAAATCCAAGTTTGATTGCTTAATTAAAGAAATGCTTTGGATCAAAGAACTGAAATCTACACTTAAACAAACTGATTCAGTCAAAGCCAAACTGTTTATCTAGTTAATCTGCTAAGAAGGGCTAATTATTGCTTAGCTCCACTAATGACTCCACGCAGCAGGCCCTATTGATATGTTAATTACTTGCTTACTCTCACTGCTTGGTATTTTTGTTTTTAGTTTTTTAAAATTTACTTAATCTTGAGAATGGTTCCATGATGGACCCGAAACGTCGATCTTTCTTGTCATTAAATTTTGTTTTGAAATTATATAGTAAGCGTCTCTTAATTCGTAACATTACTAACGCTAATATTAATGTGAATTGTATATTATAAATTTTTTGAAACGCATAATAATAATGATATACTCTATTAATAATATTATAAAGTAACATAATAGTATAATAATGATGATGAAGAAATATGTAGTGTACAAAAGATTAAATTTAAATAGGTAAACATTTCCTTTAATTTTGATTGTCGTAGTCTTGGAATTCGGTGTGTTGACGTCATCATTCCATATTTGCTTGGGAGGTGGGGAATTCCCGTCAGACAGGCCTAGACTCCCATCGTCCGATGCCACGACAAGGTCGCCACACCACAAATAACGATTTGCTTATCCATATATATATATTGATTTAGGAAAAACTCCGAATGCCTTGCAATTATGTAAAAAATTAAAATCCAATTCGGCTTTGTTCAAACGAAGAGTAATCTTTTCATATTTCCTTAATAAAGAAACTGGTAATCTTCTTGAACTGAAA